CCTTTCAGGGAAAAAATGGAGAGATGGGCGTTTTTGCCTGCTCCTTCTGTGCTAAGCCCTGGGGGACTAGCTAGTTAAAAATTGCTTCTTTGCCACAGTCCTGTGGGACTCATGAATGCAAGGCCCCATTGGCTATCAGAGTCAAGTGATCCAAGGATTCATCCCTTTGGATGGAAGCTATAAACTTCGGGCACAAACATGTTACAGCCTCCTTCCAGGGAGATACCAGCAACTTCCCAATGGCTTCCCTGGTCTCCAGGGAGGATCATAGCCCTCAGATACTCGCTAAATTAAAATCCTGGTCATAAAAAAAAAAAAAAAAAAAGGAGGATCATAGCCCTCAGATACTCGCTAAATTAAAATCCTGGTCATAAAAAAAAATAATAATCCTGGCCCTCAGGCATTGTCTTTTAGCACTGCAGAAAAATAGATAGGTGGTTTTGCCCTTTTGCTCTCCACCAAGGGCATAGCCATCGTGACTGCTCATGCACTTGTAAGAAGAGCTTATTTGCTATATCCTTATGGTTTTCATAAACACAAGCCCTGCTGGCTTTCAGAGCCAGGTGCTTAGGGGACCCATCCCTCAGGTGAGAGTCTTAAAAGTCGAGATGTTAGATGTGGGTCATAAACCCTTTGCTCCTCAGGAAGAAGTTGGGAGTTCCCTCTTGATTACGTGGTGCTGTGTCAGGGGTGGGATTTATGGCAAGTGTGTCCAGCCCTCGCCACCCATCTTGATACGGGTATTGTCTCATTTCCCCAATGCGGAGGAGGCGCTCAGCTACTTTCTGGATCTTTCAGAGGGAACTGCTCTATGTGCAGATGAACACTCAATGTGTCCGTGGGAGGAGGAGAGCTCCTATTACATCTTAGTACACCCTCTCTCATTTTCAATTATTTTAGGTGTTTCTTCTGTTAATTAAATCCATTATGTCTAGATTATTTCTCCAAATGGTCAAATATTCGAGGCACCTATTTGATACATCTGTTTGTTCATGGCAACATCTCCTGGGACCCCTCACCATCATCTTTTGTCTCTCTCCTATGTTGAGGATAATTCCTATATCCATGGCTTCCCTGTCTATTCCCTTGCTTCCTGGCATTTCTTGAGAAACACACTTTCAAGAGAGGTTATAGAAGACATTTTTGGGTCTGATGTGTCTGAAAATGTCCGTGTTTTACTCTGATACTGTTTAGCTAAACATAGATTGTAGGATAACATGAACCCTTGAAAAGTATTGTTCCATTACTTTTTTAACTTCTGGAGTTGCTGTCACATGTCATTCTGATTCTGGATTCTTTGAATGTGACCAGTTTTCTTTTCAGAAACATTTAAAATCTAGTCTTTATCCTAGTGCTCTAAAATTTTGCAATTTCTATGCATTAGTTTTTTTTTTTTTCTTATTGCTTGGCAAGTATTAGGCCTTTTAAACCTAGAAACCCATGTCTTTCAGTTCTGGGAAATTTCTTAAAACCTTGTAGGGTAATTTCCTACCTTCCTTTTCCCCGCCTCTCTCTTCTAGAATCTACTAGTTTTGTATTCCCTGAAATAATCTGCTCGTTCCCATATTTTCTCACATTTTTCATCTTTTTCCCCTAATATTTGTGTTTCTTATCTTCCAAATATTCTATTTGAAATTTTATTCTGTACTTTTTATTCCAAATAACTTTCTTCTCCATGCATTTTTGAATAGCTAAAATGCTATGCTTATTTCCTATGTGCAATCAATATTTTCTCTAAGACATTACTTTTTTAAAAGTTTTTTATTGAAGGATAATTGCTTTATAGAATTCTGTTTTCTGTCAAATCTCAATGTGAATCAGCCATAGTTATACATATGTCCCCTCCCTTTTGAACCTCCCTCCCATCTCCAGCCCCATCCCACCCCTCTAGGTTGATACAGAGCCCCTGTGTGCGTTTCCTGAGCCACACAGCAAATCCCCCTTGGCTATCTATTTCACACATGGTAATGTAAGTCTCCATGTTACTCTTTCCACACATCTCACCCTCTCCCCTTGTCCACAAGTCTATTCTCTCTGTAAGACATTACTCTTATACCTACAGTGTCATAAATCTTATGACAACATGTGCTTCTTGGGAAAAATTTTGCCTTTTAAAATATACTGTTTTTATATTTTGTTTAATCAGCCAAAAACATGTGCCTTTTAGTTCCCATGCTAGCTATTAAACTCAGTTTAAAATGATTTCTTCAAAACTTGTCAAGTATCATAAAATGGTGGTCAAACCCCCCCCCCAAAAGTAGCTTATTGATATGTGTGGCCATACTACAAATATGGCTGAAGTGTAAATAACTGTGAAATAAAAAAGGCACTGAAATAATTCCATCAGACTTGGCCAAAGCAGAGATTTGTGGCAACGGCCTACAGTGTGGAATGCACTGCCCACTTGAATCAAAGTCTAGATGCTTGTGGTTTCTTTTTCCCACTTTCAGTTCTCCCTAGTGTGATGATTTTTTTCTTTTTTTTATAAATTCATGAGGCCTCTGAGCTAGAATTTAATCTGAGGAAAATATTCTATGCCAAAGCACCTGATGTATGTGCAATTTATTTAAGTCAGTGAGATGGGTGGCTTTATATCAGCAGTCTCTTATGCAAAGGATAATGGCACTTTCTGCCAGCTGATTAGTTTACAAAAATTCTTTCATGTGCAGTCTCTCACTGTAAAAACTCTGCATATTTTAATCCCTGTATCACAAAGTTTGGAAGTTTAGAAAAGCAAAGACAATAAGAGTATAATGGTTAAGAGCTGATTGTTCTTAACTGATAAATAGGGTTAATACTTATTTCTTGGGGTTTGTGTGTATTGTATTACGTTTTACATGTAGTGTACTTTTTGAGTACATAGGAAGCACTCAGAGTGGTTGACATTGTAATACTAGAATCTATCTTCCTTATAGATTGCATCAGTGTTTTAATACAATGCTTCAGTAGCCAAAAGTCTGACTCCTTGAGCCCCAGGAAGTTTTCCTGTTACTGCTCACTTGGTAATCCTCTGTACCAAACTGACGGCTGTCATCCTTCTGTTTTTCACTTCTTTAATACATTTTTTTGTGTTCTGCACTTAGTCAATTATAAACTTTTCAAAAAGGGGAATTATCTCCCAAAGTCTTTCAAAATTTTGAAACTCACAATTCCCAGCTGACTCAAGCTGGTTTTACATTTGAAACTACTTTCCTACCAAGTCTGCTACTAAAAGGAACTCTTAGTTTCAGAAAAACAGCAAATAGCTTTACTGTTTGAATTTAAAAGGATTTGCCCTGCTTGAGTATTCTATGGGTGAAATTTGTCAAATATTGCCTAGCAATTTAGTGCATAATTCTTAAGGATAGAAATCAAACTTTTAACTATTCGGGATATGGGCTTATTTTGTCTTTTGTTTTTTAACATAAAGGGTTAAGGACCTGGCCCATATGAATCTGGTTTATAGAGGGAGAGGGGGGTGTCTTTATGCCTGTGTTTATCCTGAGGTGACATTACCTTGCCATTACTCAGGATATGTCGTGACTTCGTATGATCCACATAAGATGCAAATTCCAGGTGATATAATCACAACTTCCTGCAATATAGTATTTTCATATGCATCTGTTCCCATAGTTTATATAGTTCTCATATGTCAGTGGCCACAGGATTCACCTCAGAAACTTACTATAAATACCTCTCTGGAAGCCCTCAAAAAATGGATTCAGTAGCTACAATGGAGCAAAAAAATCTGCATTTTAAATAAACTTTCTCCACTACAACTCTAACATGTTATTCTCACATAGGTAGTTCAAACCCCATGATGAGGAACACTGATTAAGTCTAAGGCAACAACCAAAGTTGGGACTTTTGCAATTCTTTGCTCCCAGGAAGTAGCTAATCGTTTGAAGAAAACTGAGACTCCTAACTACTGGAATTAGCCTGGGTCTGCCGAATACTGCTTTCCTGCATGTTTATTAACAACCTGCTCAGCCATCTCTATTCTGTTAATTTGGAGATTTTGAAAGAGAACAGTCTTTTTTTTATTAACCCCTTTCTTTTAGAAAACAGACAACCTGTTTTAACAGTAAAGAAATTTTTCTTTTCCTGAAGCTGCTTCTAGAACCTAAGTCCATTCAACATCATGATGATTTCAAAACAGAATTGGGAGGAACGTTAAGTATGACCAGATGTTGTTTCCTACTTCTGAAGAATGTTGTTCTCTTTTTCTCCCCCTTCAGCTATGAATTCCAGGTGAAACCCAAAAACCCACTTGGTGAAGGGCCACCCAGCAACACAGTGGCATTTAGTACTGAATCAGGTAATTACATCAGCTGGAATTCCCAACAAGGATATAAAGGGTCAGAGTGTTTGCATAGCTTGTCTGAAACAAGCTAAATGAGGTAAAGCATTTCTTGATTTCAAAAACCCATCTATTTGAAAAATCAAGCCAATGAAGGTACCTTTTAAAGAAGCAACACCTGGGTTTTTTCTCATTTATTTTCATGTCAGAAAAATGGTAGGCTTATCAGTGTAAAAGAGAGGAAGTATGAGGTCAGGCTATACTCAACAGTGAATGAATGCTCCTCTCTATGCCTAGAATCAGAATGTCAGACTTAGAAAGCCAGTTGTATCCAGAAAGGGAATTCATGTGATAGCTTTTTATGATGAACAGCTGTGAAATTTTCTGATCTGGCCTAAGTTCCAGTTCCTTAACGAGATACATCTGCACAACTGCACTTCATGGCATCCTGGTGATTTTGTCAATATTTTTATGAAGCTAAAAAGAGGAAGATTTGAAAATGGAAGTAAAATCTAGTACAGCAAAAAAGACCCCTAACTACTTAAACGACATAAAAATGGATTCAGTAGCTACAATGGAGCAAAAAAATCTGCATTTTAAATAAACTTTCTCCACTACAACTCTAACATGTTATTCTCACATAGGTAGTTCAAACCCCATGATGAGGAACACTGATTAAGTCTAAGGCAACAACCAAAGTTGGGACTTTTGCAATTCTTTGCTCCCAGGAAGTAGCTAATCGTTTGAAGAAAACTGAGACTCCTAATTACTGGAATTAGCCTGGGTCTGCCGAATACTGCTTTCCTGCATGTTTATTAACAACCTGCTCAGCCATCTCTATTCTGTTAATTTGGAGATTTTGAAAGAGAACAGTCTTTTTTTTATTAACCCCTTTCTTTTAGAAAACAGACAACCTGTTTTAACAGTAAAGAAATTTTTCTTTTCCTGAAGCTGCTTCTAGAACCTAAGTCCATTCAACATCATGATGATTTCAAAACAGAATTGGGAGGAACGTTAAGTATGACCAGATGTTGTTTCCTACTTCTGAAGAATGTTGTTCTCTTTTTCTCCCCCTTCAGCTATGAATTCCAGGTGAAACCCAAAAACCCACTTGGTGAAGGGCCACCCAGCAACACAGTGGCATTTAGTACTGAATCAGGTAATTACATCAGCTGGAATTCCCAACAAGGATATAAAGGGTCAGAGTGTTTGCATAGCTTGTCTGAAACAAGCTAAATGAGGTAAAGCATTTCTTGATTTCAAAAACCCATCTATTTGAAAAATCAAGCCAATGAAGGTACCTTTTAAAGAAGCAACACCTGGGTTTTTTCTCATTTATTTTCATGTCAGAAAAATGGTAGGCTTATCAGTGTAAAAGAGAGGAAGTATGAGGTCAGGCTATACTCAACAGTGAATGAATGCTCCTCTCTATGCCTAGAATCAGAATGTCAGACTTAGAAAGCCAGTTGTATCCAGAAAGGGAATTCATGTGATAGCTTTTTATGATGAACAGCTGTGAAATTTTCTTATCTGGCCTAAGTTCCAGTTCCTTAACGAGATACATCTGCACAACTGCACTTCATGGCATCCTGGTGATTTTGTCAATATTTTTATGAAGCTAAAAAGAGGAAGATTTGAAAATGGAAGTAAAATCTAGTACAGCAAAAAAGACCCCTAACTACTTAAACGACATATAAAAGACAGCTGAGTTTCTCCAATGCAGAACCGTCCCCAAAACAAAGCTCACAGTTTTCAAGTTTGGACTTTAGTTACGAGTGTGTGTTGTCCAAGGCTCTGTAACATCTGTTAAGCCCCCGTCTTCTTTGCCACGTCACTGGAATACTGGGACTTACCTAATCAACTGTCTGCTGTTTCTCCTCAGCTGACCCAAGAGTGAGCGAGCCAGTTTCTGGTAAGTACCCACCTCAGTGAGAACACAACTGCATGCTTTTCTACAGTGATTCAGCTAAATGGGCATGGTAGAATTTTAGTCATGATTTCACTTTAGTCCATTTAGTCGTCTTCTTCAATTACCTGTGAATGCTTACCTAAAATGTTCAGAAACACTGACAGCCTATGGTGTTTCAGGAACAGGTTGAGCATTCTGAAACCTGCTTTTCATTCATGTAACAGATCAGCTCAAATCTTCTAAGATATAGCACCGTCATTTCCACTTTTCGTGACTTTATTTTCACTGCTGTTATATTCCACTGTGTAGGGTTAGGGTTAGTCATTCGTTTTTTCTTTATTTTTTTATTGAAGGATAATTGCTTTACAGAATTTTGTTGTTTTCTGTCAAACTCATCTCCACTTTTAATAACAAGTCACACTAAAGCAACTGTTTACACTGAAACAGTTTCTCTCAGAAAAAGAAACCTAATTTTGTTCCTGAAGTGATGCTATGTTGAGCATAGCATAACTATGCAGAACTAATCAACTTTGACACATACTGCTCCAAGATTCACCTCACTACTGACAGAAAATTAATGGGGAGCTTACGTGTTTAAACACCTGTATTTTTTCGCTCCAGTATTTAGCACTGGAGAAAACCGTGTATCAGCAGGTCGACAATGAACTTTGCAAACTGCTTTTTAAAGAGCTTTTGAGATAGCTCTTCGGGACCCAAAGTGAGACGCTAAGCCCAAACCATGCGCTTCTTTACGCAGCGGGAAGAGACGCCATATGGACCGAGAGGCCCTTCGCCTCAGACTCCTACTCGGAGTGCACGGGCAAACAGTACGTCAAGAGGACCTGGTACAAGAAGTTCGTGGGCGTGCAGCTGTGCAACTCCCTCAGATACAAGATTTACCTCAGCGACTCCCTCACAGGTGAGCGCCGGGGCCGCCCGCAGCACCCCGCCGGCAGAGGCACGGCTTGAGCAAGGCGTGACTGGCATCTTGGGATCGGAGAAATGCGGCAAGAAATGCAATTTCCAACAGTGCCATCATGGCAACTGCAGAGAAGCCAGTCACATCCAAGCTCAATTATGTTACAGCAAGCCAGGATGGACAGCTTACTGGTAGTAAAAGGAGTGTATCTAACAATAATCATGCAAGGAGTATGACCTAGTTAATAAGATTTTAAGTCTGTCAGAGACAAGGGCAAGGTTAAGACCATCAGCCAGATAGGCTATAACCCCTTGCTCCAGACTCGGTGGGTTCTTTTCTATATTCGTACAGTAAAAATTTTAAACCCCAACATAGAAAGGTAGACATCTGTTCCATCATTTAACAAACAGTATCTGCTCTGTTCTGACGCTGCTGGGGACAACGCAGGACTGTCCTGCCCCCTTTTGTAAGTCTGTGAATCCCTTAGCTACATCTAACACATGACTTTTACAGTCATTTTCTTGGCTTTCCCAACCATTTGTTCCTGCTCTTTGAAGCTTACAATCTAGTGGGGAGAGGCAGAAAACAAATATGTAGAATTTATATAGTACTTTGAAGGAAAAAAGAGGGATGAAAAGAAAATGGTGGAACGGAATGAAAGCTCCTTTAGTTAAAATGTTTAGGAAAAGCTTTCCTCAAAGCTAACACTTGTGCTGAGAAGAAAACTGAGAAGGAACCGAGACAGACCAAGGGATAAAGCAGCAGAGGCAGAGGGCAGACACCTGAAGACCTGGCGCAGAAATCCCTCTCCAGCTTACTAGCATGGCTGAGGCTTAGTACGGGGAAGCTCAGGCAGGCGTGCAATCACGGGGAGCTGGGAAACCAGGCAAGGACTCTGGGTTTTATTCTGAGTGTAACAGAAGACTGCTGGAGAGATTGATGGAGGCAAGTAACATTATCTGAGTTGCATAGTTAAAAGATGACTCATCTGTGAGAGGAGAGGAAGAACAGGGAAAGGCAAGAGTGAAGGCAGGGATGCAGCTGGGAGATTGTCGTCCCATTAAAGAACGGCGTGACTTGAAGTAGAATGAACAGGTGGGGAAGTACAAGAACATGGAAGACGGATCATTTGAAACAGTTTACTTCAGAGTTCTCCCAGATCAAAGAAATACTTCATGATCCTTTTAATTTCCAGGAAAATTTTATAACATAGGCGATCAGAGGGGCCATGGGGAAGATCACTGCCAGTTCGTGGACTCATTTTTAGATGGACGCACAGGACAGCAGCTCTCTTCTGACCAGTTACCCACCAAAGAAGGTAGGTTTTCGGAGCCTGCTCAAAAGCAAGAGGCTTTTTACAAATGAACCCAAAAAACATTCAGGCTGAGCAAAAAGTTAGAGTGTCAGCTGCTCAGTCGTGTCTGACCTTTGCAACCCCACCAAGCTCCTCTGCCCATGGGATTCTCCAGGCAAGAATACTAGAGTGGGTTGTCATTTCCTCCAGGGGATCGTCTGGACCCAGACATCAAACCCAGATCTCCTGTCTAAGCCATCAGGGAAGCCGTCAGGCAATCGCTTTAAAAATCATCTGCAGTCTCCCTACTCTCCCTGCCAACGAAAAAGACTGTCCACATGAGACCTCAACGTGAAGACTTTGTCTCAACTTTCGTCCCATTCCTTAAGACTCTGTTGCTTAGAGCCAATACATACACATACATTCTACTTTAAGAAAACCTGAATTTGCAAAAGCAGCTATTGAAAGAAACTTTAAGCATTTCCCAAACTTAAATCATTCATGTACTACCTTTATAATTTGTCATACTCAGCACACAGGCAGGTTTTAATTCCTTCCTAAAAAAAATTAAAGCTTTACTACTCGCATGGAGAAGGACATGGCAACCCACTCCAGTATTCCTGCCTGGAGAATCCCATGGACAGAGGAATCTGGAGGGTTTCAGTCCATGGGGTTGCAAAGAGTCGGACACAACTGAGCAACTCACACTTTCATTTTCCTACTACCATAGAAGGAAAAATGTTATTTGCCTTATAATTATACAAATACACAATTAAAATAGAAGAATTCTGCTGAGAAGTGACTAACCCCTGCAACTTTCTAAAGACACTTTAGCACCAAGCTGTGTAATGAGGACTGAAAAGACTGAAAATCAATCCCTGTCCAGGTAGGGTAGGAGAGGGGTAAATTATAAACCCATTATTACTCAGGAGCTACCAAGAGAGACTTGTTAAATACTTAAAATCATTTGGTTGGTCTTTTTAGCTACATATTTTGGTCAATGGCATTAAAAATAGCAATCATAGTAAAAGATGACTGAATAAGATCTGTGAACTCAGTAACAGAAAATTGAAACTACAGCCACACAGGAACTAGATAGAAAATATAAGTTCTATCTCCATAACATTTTACATTCTCAGCAAAACTTTAAGTCATTTAGTGTAGGGTCCTTGGAGGATGATTTCACCCAAGTTTAATTCTTAGACATTTAGCAACCTTACAACTACCCCCCTTTTGTTTCCTGACATTTTAGCACAACACACCTCTACCCAGGTCACCTCCAGGCTATCATGTGCAGAAAGTATACTTTCACGCCCAACAGTGTGTACTGAACTTGGTCAGTGACGCTCCAACAAACATAAAACCCTTCCAACTCCTGACCCTTTTGCATTTCGGCTCTCTCTCTCAAGTATCAACAGGACCAACCCGTCCTAAGCGTCCCCGTGTTTAGCCCGCCACTGCCACCTCAGGAAAGACACTGGGCCTCTGTTGCTCTCCACTGTCTAAACACTCTGCTTCACTGCAGTACCCTTCAAGCATTCGATGGCACCCTGCAATCTACGAGGACAAAAATATAACACAGCAGCTATTAATTTTAACTATTTCCCTCTTAGGCTATTTCAGAGCAGTTCGTCAGGAACCAGTCCAATTTGGAGAAATCGGTGGTCACACTCAAATCAATTATGTCCAGTGGTATGAATGTGGAACCACAATTCCCGGAAAATGGTAGATGCTGCAGTCACATTCAAAAGTGCTTCCTGTTTCACCATTTCAAAAAATAATTGGAAACAGTATGGTATTTGTCACATGCATTTAAAGCTCTTTTGTTTACTATGTATAAAAGTCTAAAATCTAATAGCAATATTAGATGTTTATTAGAAAGATTGCTAAGAATATTTATCAGGTTTTACAAAGTCATTTTAAGAAAGCAAGATATTGATATTAACAGAATAACATTTTTGGGGAAGCTGGCTCCCTGTTCATGGTATTTTAAGAGATCATTTGTATATTATTTATCACACTGTTGTAATGATGTTCTGAGATACTTTTATAACAAAATTAACATCAAAAAACTAATATACTTTAAAAAAATATTTACATTTATTGTGTATTCTTCCTACTGTTAATTCCATAAATCTCTACTTGGCTTAACTTATTAGATCAAATTATCGTCAGCATATTATATCTGGGGAGAAAAGGTCCTAATATTCACATGTTTATTTAAACTGCAACCTGTTAGCAATAGCTGAGTAACTTTTGAAGCATTTAAACAGTTAGCCATTCGTGCTAATATACATTTCATTAATTATCTACAAATGATTGAAAAGGCTGTTTGAATCAGTAAATTTCAGTTGAAAATGGAATTGAGAATTTGATATATCATTTCAAAAATACATACTTTGTTCTCTACCCATAAACATGCTACAATGTCTGAATGCTCTTTGTCAAACTGTCCCTTTAAGCAGTTGTGTCGGTGCTGTTTTTAATTCTAATAAAGCTGTGTCCGAAGACTGCATTGAAGTCTAAGCATGAAAGGATAAGCCGTGATGCGAGGCCTACCGTTTTATGATATTTACTGTATTTTTACACAGACGATCTCTAGGGAATGAATGTATCAGAGGCTGTTTTCTTAATTCTAACCACCTGTAATGCAAATCCGACTTATCTTTCTTTCAAACAGTATTTCCTCCTCCACTGGGGAGGAGACAGGAACGCCGCATTGGTGCCCTCATTCTTAAAGGACCTTTCTGCGCTTACCTTTCAACAGGCTTCAGTTTTATCAATACTTCATTTTATATTTTTCAAACAGTATAAACTCTGCAATAAAGAGATGTAGTTTTTTTTAAGACTGAGTTCTTCATTTCTGAATGGTTGATTTCTATAAGGAAAATCGCAGGTTGTTTAGGATCTACCAACCCCCTTGCATCTTTTAATATTGTATCTACTGTGTTTATATATAATGCTAATAATCATCTTGATCTATTTTAAAGTTTCGTCATTTAAAACCAAAATCAGGACAAAAGGCAACAGCATTGTGCATCTCTGAATAGAAAGGCCTAAGATAGATAAAATGTCTATTTCAAGACCAAAACATCAATAAGGATTTTTCTTATATATACACACATATATAGAATATCAAAGACTAAATTAACTTACAAGACCATTAATGGATTCAATCATCTTTATTAACCTATCAATGTTACATTTTATACATAATAGCTAGTCTTCTCAAAGGAATCTATTTTAGTACATCGTGTTAATAATAAAAAGCCAAGTAAGAGGGCTGAACTTCAACCTAGCATTGTAATATCCTCTGGACAAGGCAAGCTAGAAAATCAATCACTTTGCACACATGTAAGAGTAGTGTTCCAAAATAAGTAGGAAGCTGCTATACTTTTAAGCAGGGGAGGGGAAAAAACTTCCATTTTGGTCTTTTATCTTCCAGCAAATTATACTTTCAATTAACAGCAATAATGGTATCATAAAAAAATGCTCTGCTTTTTCAATTCCTGAACTTCAATACAAATTAGAATAGTAGTATTGGAGTCTTTTGGGAGGCAAACAGCTAGCAGCTACGCTCATCAGTGTGACTGAGCCTCTCTATCGATAACCTGGTCCAGGCTGGGTGTAGCCCTGACCGAAGGGAGGACGGCTACGTGCATACGGGTTAGACCCGCTTGGAAGAGGGGTCATGGTACTTCCAGGAGGTGGGGTGAAACCTGGTCTTGGCTGGTAGGCCCCGGGCTGGCTTGGAGCCATTCCCGGTTGTGAGGCAGGGGCCACAGTGTAACTAGTGGGCTGAGACGTTTGGGTAGTGTAAGTTTGTGGAGGGTAACTGCTCGCCTGGTACTGCTGCGGAGGTTGAGCAGGCAGTTGCTGAGGCTGACCAGAAAAGGCAGGTGCCGGCGCCTGGGAAGTGGGTTGCTGGCCATATCCTGGGAACTGCTGAGGTTGTTGGGGTCCAGTCTGCTGACTATAGCCTGCTGAAAAGGCAAAACATACACCTCTTTCTTTTGGTGAACATTTTCCAGAGAATTAGTCTTACTGTTATGGACAAAAAAATAAATGAGAAATTTAACAAACTTAATCCTAAGTATTTAGATAGCAAGTAGAGTAGTGGATTTTCTATTTCAAGACCATATAGTAACAAAGAAGCATTTTCTAGACAGTTTTGTAAACCCTCTAAAATGAAAACCACTACATATACAGATCTCTTCTACTTCAACTCCTTGTAGACTGTATAATCCCTGAGAGTAAACTCCTGTTGTAGCATAACTCCCAGTAGAGAGTATATGCTCAAATGACAAACGTGGGAATTAACGCAAAAGCTAGTCATTAACCTGGTTTTGAGGGGCCTGTTTAATAACAGTACCAAATAAACACATTGTAGAGAATGGACGTTTTTAAATGAAACAATGCTGCTAACAAATACAACTGACTATATTAGTGAGATGCTTTTTAGGCTTATTCATCCTATAGAAATTAAAACATTTAAGAATAAACATTAAGTGCCCATTTTCACAATCCTTAAAATCTTTTAAGATTTGGTATCATGGTTTTACCTTTACAATAGCAGTAACAACATAACAGAAAGCATATCATACTGCCCCACAAAAATGAACATCTATATTAATTAGTTACTAGGACGTAAAGCTTTTTTAAAAGAAAAGGTCTGCTTCACTAAAAACTTTTATCTCTACCATGAAACACACCTGCAGCTACTTGCAATGAAACCTCTCCATTGACTGGAATCCTGTCAGCATTAAATACCAGATACATAAGAAAATTATTAAAATATGTACAACCCTGCATTAAAAAATAAATAAATAAAAAGGATTGAATGAACTGAGTATATTCTGAACTCACCTTGAACCTGGGTTCAAAATTTACTCATGAAAGAAAGCTTTTGACATAGTCCATGAATAAAACTGGAAAAGGTCACAGAGGAAAACTGCCAAACCAGCAGAGTGCCAAAGATGGTCCAATGTTACCACCACCACTAACAGTCTCCAAGCAGAGTATTTAGGTGACTATTTCCATATCTCCCAATTTCAAGTTAATAGGACTAGCAGGATCAGAAATACAAAGATAATACTTTGAAAAGAACTAAACTTTACTCAGTGAAGATCCTAACTAAAATCATTAACAGCAAGCTTAATTTTTAACAAGTAAATAAAATACCTAATGCATTTTATTCATGGCAGTACCTAAATACCAAACTAAATTCATGAAAAAACCTTGATGTCATACAATTTCTCCTATCCTCTATATAAAAACATAAAAAAATTTTTTACTCTGTTTTTGAAGAAACAAAGTTTTATACTGAAAATGTCTATTCAATTTAAGATTGTGAGAAAAAAAAAAAAGCTGTGTTTACATCCTGCCAATTGATATCTAAACTGGCTTTTCAACAGACTGTGCGGACAACTAAATCTTTATTTTTTGAGAGAGAGGATAATGCCTAAGAGCCTAAGTTGCTGTTTCATTAGCAATCTACTGTCTTGACCATAATATAAAATACCTCTGTATATATAAACCCCTCCTTCCACCACCATCCCCTCCCTTGAAAAACAAAATAACTTTGGTGAAAATCACCATAAGCGGCAAGAAATGGAAATTCTGTGGTTGTCTGAATAAAGTAAAATTAAAGGACAAAAAGTCACGTGGTCCATGAAGCCTAAAATATTCACTATCTCGTTTCTTATGGCAGAAAAGTCTGCCAAGCTCTGGCTGGGGCTGAGAGAGTGCAGAATGATGCAGGGAAGTCACTAACTGCAAAGTCAAGTGTACCGGGCTCTGGTCTAGCTCCCCAACCAAACGGCTGCTTGTCCTTCGATGCATCACGATTCTTTGGACCCTAGTTGCCTCATTTACAAAATGAGTGGATAAGACAAGATCAGTGGCTCCCAATTCTCACTACACTTTAGAATGACCTGCAAAGCATTTAAGATACCAATGCCTGAACCCCACCCTTGACCAAATAAAACAAGATCTCTGGGAGTAGAGCTCAGGTACCTGTAAGTTTCAAGAAACACCTCTCCAGGTGATTCTGAAGCATAGTGAAGATGGAAATTGCCAGGATTAGACAATAGAGTGAAAAAAACTTATTATTTCTACAAATTGCCAATATATAATTTTTAATAGATTTTCTCTAAAAGACTGCATTCTGAAAATAACCTTCCCCCAATATTATAGTCCAAGTTTAAATTCATTCCACCTAGTTTACATAAAAACTAGCAGCTACAGGTTAAGTCACTCTACAGCAAATCCAATCCAAATAAAAATCGCTCTTTGTGTTAAAATATGTCAAACTACAATGGTAGAATTTTATGGTCTAATTCAGGGAGTCAGCAAATGTTTTTCTGTAAAGGACCAGATAATAAATATTCTAGGCTTTGGGGACCACAGGGTCTCTGAAACTTTTAACTAAAGGCGGTGGCATTTTCATAATAAGTTTCAAGTAGTTTAGAAAAATAAAAAGTAACAGAGCGATGTACTTGCTTTAAGCATAGTTGTGCCCTGTCATTCTCTATTGAGGAACATGGTTTTAGACTTTTTTGAGTGGGAGCTCCTTTGGCTCACTGACAAAGTCTACTATGTGGAGCTTTAATCTCAGACTTTTCAATGATACCTAAGTTAATATTTATATTAAATGAGAACGTGTACACAACTCTTTTAAACTAATGCTCTAGAGTTATGCCTGGCTTCCAATGATGGTTCCTACTAGCTGTGATGTACTGACCCAAGGTAAGTTGCTTAATCTTTCTGTACCTGAAATAGGGACTGATAATGAGGCTAACTTCCCCCCATGTATTTATTGTGTTCATAGCTCATTTTTGTATTGTAATCTAATTTTTTAAAATTACAGTTGAAATTCTGATACTTAAATATTTTACTATAAAACAAGACTGAACATAAGTTCTCATATAACAAAAGTAAAAATTACCCAAATTATAATTATTTGAATTATAATATTCCAAGCTATACTGAGAGATTTTTATGTTCTTAGTTGTCTGAATTACATTTCACACAATTCTACTTTCATGGACTGTTTTTAGTATTCCTACATACTTCTAGGAGATTTTAAAACCTATGCAGCTTAATTTGGCTCTTATTTATTATTTAATAAGATCACCTCTTTTTACATACGAGGGAACTGTTAAAAAGTGTTTTTCCAGGTACTGGAGTACACTGGGATAATGCGTTACAAAAAAGAGGGAAAAACTGTTCCATTTTTGTAACTCTACATCACCAAGCAGGGAAGCTGATCACATGAGCAGGAGATAATTTTGCATTAAAAACTTTTTATACTACAGGTCATTACTGAATCATCTACTGTGACTGTGATTTACCTGCCCACTGGAACTGAAATGGTGATTTACAGTTAAAATTTCTATGTAAAATATTTATAAATGAATGATACAAATGTTCTTCCCCCCCTAAAAAATAAATCCCTAATCCTTACTCTAACAAGCAAGGAAACAGGAGGAAGGAATTTAGGGTTTCATGAACAGAGACACAGCTCCCCCGGGCGCCCGCTCACCTGCATACTGAACGCCGTAGGGCTGCGGCGCCTGGGGGGGCGCCTGCGGCTGCTGAGCGCCGTAGGCCGGCTGCTGCGAGTACTGCTGGTAGATCTGGCCTGGGGAGGAGACGGGCAGAGAGGCAGGGTTCACTCGGCAGAAGAGAGACCTCTTTAAGGCGCCTGTAATTCCCTCCCCATTCACACACACCAACCAAGACGCAGAACGTGTCTTCCTCCTTAACTGTCTATGAAGGAGAACAAGGAACAATTTAACAAGTGTGGCAACTCTGCTGTGGATGAACTGTGGAGAACTCTAACTGA